GCGAGCGCATCTGTTTTGGGTACAGAGGGTCATAGGTTCGAATCCTGTCACCTTGAGTCAAAATCAGAGTAAATTGACATGAAAATCAATCGACCATTATCACCTCATAATACTATTTATAAGCCACAATTAACTTCTACTTTCTCTATTTTTCATAGAATTTGTGGTGCTTTTTTAGCTACCACTGTTTTATTTTATATTCTTTTTGTCAAAATTTGCGAAACATGCGAAACTCACACGACGGGGCCAGCCTGTATATGCAGCTGCCTTCCCAAAGTAACAAAAAAAGGGTGAACTGCCGAAGAACAGAAACAGGTTCTGAAGAGCAAGCGAAGATGGATGATAGCCGGATGAACGGTCCGTGGACCGCAAACTTGCACAATAATATGAAATTATGAATCGTCTTGCCAAGATGCTTTGCCAGAGAGGCGAAATTGGACAACAGTGCTCTGACACGGGTATCATCACCTGAAGCGAAGTTCGAAATCAACACAGAGACTCACAAGAAACACTTTCCCGAGGCGAGAAACATAGGGGCCTCGCTCCAGTACTCCCCACATGCGCAAAAGACACAAAATATGGCAGCATATGTTTCCATTGTCTAGCGAAAGATTCATTCTCATTTTGCACATGGTGAGTAGTGGAGCGAGGACCACATTCTATCAAAAACATGTACTGAAGAACAGAAGCAAACATATTATTGAAGGACGGAAACCTGAAGAGAACCAACTGACGTATCTATGTCGGTACACCCATGAACCATTGAGAAGCAGACCTGAGTTCGAACTTCACTGGAAGCAGATGAGTAAAATACTACAGTAATTCTGAATTACCTAGGGCCGGTCAGTTCAATGACCACACCTCACGGCCTTCACCCTTCTGAAAAAAAAGAAGACAAAAAAAGAAACATGAAGAGAGAGTAGTGACAAACCTACATGACATTCCCAACCCAAAAAAAAAAAAAAAAACCTACATGACAGCAAGAATTAGCCTTAAACAAAAACAAAAAAAACCTACAGGACAGCCTAGCTCAGCACACAAGTGGCATTCAGGAGGTATTCGATTCAATCCCCATTGGCCTCATGTATCGTCCTGGGCATGCTTGGCGCCCGCCACCTAGAGAAAGAGCCCGTTGGTCCCTCCAATTGGCATTAAAAAAAGCAGTCTCTGCTGACGTTCATAGGGGGAGGGGTAATCGGGGAGGCACAGCGACTGGCCACTCACATGATGCTCAGTCCCTCTGCTACCGGCTGTCCCCCCTGGCCGGTGTCCCCCCCCCCCCATTGGGGGTTTCCTGAAGGCAATAAATAAAGGACACCCTGTGTCAGATTAGACACAAGATTGAATTTACCTGGGCTGGTTAGTCCCCCATGATAATACCTCAAGGCCATTGCCCTTAAAAAAATAAAATAAATGATGGACTGCTGAATAATGGCAGCCTGGTGTCAGTAGCTCGGACAGCTGGTCAGATCTCAAGCAAGAGACAAGATGAAGACAATATTGTTTCTACATTGTTTCTACATTGTTTCTACAGTGCCAATTACTACCAATAGGCCTGCGCCGCGCAGACGGCGTTCTGAACCGAAGGAATATGAATTTCCATGGAAACCAATAGACATGGCTCTACGCGAAACAGACACTAAGGAATTAGTTGTATCCCCTCCCCCCTCCTTCTTACCTCTCCTCCAGTTGCTACGCTTCGAGAGGCCTGGGCCCACCTGCCTGGGCCCAGGCACTCCCATATCAGTCGATCAGCGAAGGACTACAAGCTGCTGAGGATACACGTCAACGACTCGAGTCCGTAGGCTGAACAGCACCCCGTACCCAAACTGCCAAATAGCCAAATAGCCCGAAAATGGGCTGGGAGGTGACATATTCTGCAAAGCCGGTACAATTTCCCATGGAATACAGGGCAGGCATATTTACCCATGCATTATAATCTGGGAAAGATGAAAGCAGGGGTACTGTAGGACGAAAAGCAGATGCCCCTTCCTTTGTCCCCTTCCTTTGCCACACACAAAGGAGAAAAAGAAGGCCTCCTTCACCCTTTGGCTGGCTCAGGCATATTCACCCATGCATTATAATCTGGGAAAGATGAAAGCAGGGGTACTGGACGACGAAAAGCAGATGCCCCTTCCTTTGTCCCCTTCCTTTGCCACACACGAAGGAGAAAAAGAACG